GTAAATAGCAGGTAATAATTGGATACTTATATCAACACTTCTGCATATTTGTTCAACATATTTATTATTTAATGTGAATAAAACTTATTTCAAATTTTGTTGAAGCACTACACGACCTAACTCATGTAATCTCAATATAAATTACATCTCTAGGTTTTTTAGTTTAATAAATACCTATTGTAAAGATAAATTCATGTGCTTTATTTTCCCAATTTGCCCTAGTTTTCACACGAACACAATTTTAGCAGGCGATTTGAATTCACTTTACAAACTCTGTGATTTCCGTTGAAGTTTCAATAATATTTCGAGTATCTCATATTGCCCTTTAATTGTGATGTTAATTGAAGCCCTAGCATAAACATCACAATTAAGGAGCATGATGAAATGCTTGAAATGTTATTGAAACTTCAACGGAAATCACAGAGGTCATAAACTGAAATCAAATACCCCGCTAAATTTTGATGTGAACCCAATCGATAAAGAAGATTTCTTCTGCCAGTAGTGGAAGTTAGAGTTTAGTTTTAGTTGCAGCCGCTGAGATAAGCGACAAATAGCATTCTGCAGGCTATATGGCAGTTTCCAATCTATAACCTCTGTGATCTGTGAGCATGTGTCCCATGCATCCGCTTATACGATGGTACGATGATACGAAAGTTTTTCTATTGGTTGGCGGAAGAATTCGCAGATCTCCAACCAATAGAAACACTTTCGTATCATCATATTTATTATTCGTAGCAAGGTATATTTTTGCCCAACTACATTAAAAGTCACTCCACCTGTAGCATCTACCTTTAAAATGATGTAACGCTGGCAAACCCAAACTTAATACTGACCTAGAAACAAAATGGGAACATGTAGGTATATGTATTGACGTTATTAGAAAAAAAACATAGTCATAAATGATAAAAATATTTATTATAGCAGAAACAAGAAAAACACAGTCATATATGATAAACATATTTATAATAACAGAAATAGGAAAGAACAAAGTACACCCTATAAACAATCAACATATATAACAGAAACAGAACAAACAGACGTATAAATGATAAACAAGTAAAAGTAAAAACTTCAAAAGCATGTAAAAGGAACAAATAAACAAAATTATTGATGTCAAAATCTGCCTTTCTATAAAATAATAATACAAAAATTACTTATACCATTTGGTGCAAATTTTTGGATGCATTGATCCACTATAGCATTGTCGCGGCTATCTTTCTGAGGCTTAATTTTCGATTTATTAGAAGCAAAATATATTTTCACATATTATAAATAATACATTCCGAAACTGCCGTATTATTACATATATTCGTCATGCAAAGGGAACAAATTTTTGAAATGTTTAAGAATTCTATTAAACCTTTTTGACGTAGCTGCAATAGGAAAAATGTCTGCGCCCACGGTCTTCTATCATATATCTTCTAAACAATTATAAGTTTTATTGTTTAAAAGATTACTTACATTCTTTACCCCAAACACGTCTTTCCTGCAACTCTTCAAATTACGCTCATAACGTTTCAATGTCCTCCTCATGCTGCATAGCTTGTGAAATAGAAGTTGTTTCCTTGGAGTCATTTTGTTGGAGTCATTTTGTTCCTGCTGGTTACTCCAATCGAATCAAGCAATTTGCTTCTCACATGCAGCGGTAAACCTATTAAATACTTTTAATTAATACTTTAGAACAGCGTTTTCTTAAACTTAAGAAAAGCTTGAACCTACTCTTACTGTAGTTATTACGTTTTAATGATTATTAAAACTTACCGATTCCACTATCTACATTAGGCGTAGGCATCGAAAAAGCATTGATTCTTGTTCCCGTTCGACAGAAGTAGAATCATCGTGAGAAGTTTCTATACCTGATAAGTTTTTTATTATTATAAATATTTTTTCTGTCAAAAAGTATTGCTACCTGTGTGAGGATGTCTCCGATCAGAGCCGCGCCGTCCATTAGTGCGAAGGCGTGCACTTCCCGACGGCGCCAAAAGTCAAAAGGCGCCGCGGCGGTGTTATCATTTAAAAATTTTCTCACAACTCCTTGTACGACGTGTGGTTCTTCAAAGCCCACATTCATCCCGGCGAAACAATACTCTATTGTTGAAAGCCGTACGCACACTGAATCGACTCTAGCAGATCTAATACTTAGACTGCTTTCTGCTAGTTCGAATTTCTCACGTTCTTCGATCGATCGCTCAATTATCCGGCTTCTCGCGGAAAAAGTAACTTGTTCTATATTTAGCGTTTAGTTCCAAAATAAGACGAAAAATAAGCTAGGTAAGCGAATTTACTAAAATTTACTTATTTACATACATAATACTTGATTAGAATTTTTTTTTTAATATCTTACAGACATTAAAATAATCTAGATGGTGTAGATACTTATTATTGTGTCATTTGCTAGTTCTGTCACTATTACGGCGGAGAATTTTCACTTTGGTTACCTTGTAGATAATCCTTTACTAACACTTTTTCTTAGTGGTGTTTGCTGCGGAAAATCGTTGTTCTATAAATTTTCACTCATTTAAAGTTTACCTATTTTGAGGCCATTTAATACACTTCTTGTTCGATTTTGTATTTTTGAAAGTCTCATATATGTGTGGTGGATCATATGCAGCTTCATTCACCGACTCACAGGTGGCAGCACCTAAGCACCATTTCAAATGCCAGCATATATCTCACCGCATAACATCTGTGGCGTTTCGGTTCAAATAGAACTTCCAACCTATGTTCCGTAACCGGCGTCTAAGGCAGGGTCTACCTAAGCCTTACTGACGAGTCCAATAGGTAGGCCCGGGACGAAACGCATGGTACCTCAACGCGCACCATATGTGTGTAACTAGTCATTCTGGGTTAGTTCGGGTTCCCATTTTCTTTCCTTTTCAATAAAATACATTTAACTTCAACTGACCTTGGCCACATTGGAAAATTACGTTTCTAGCTTGGGCACTGTCATTAGATAGCATAGTTTTGGAAAATTGTGTTATTTTACTGAAAAGGAAAGAAAATTCTAGGCCAAACTAACCTAAAATTATTAGTTAGAGAAATGAAACTGAAAAAACAAAAAGTTGATTAAATGGCCTCGAAATTGGTCAACTTTAAATGAGCAAAATATGAGAGAAAAACGATTTTACCACACGAACGCAGCAAACACCACTAAGAAAAATGGTCTAGCCGAATTGATGCAATTAGTCTTCTAAGGTTTCAATTGGGAGGAATATATGATACTCTCTATGAAATATTATCTGGAAATAATTTTGACAATTCTGTGAAAAATCTGGCTACATCTTTACCAAGAAAGATAAGAAATTTCAGTTTATTTGCATGTTAGTACTGTGGTACAACATATTAAATTCAGTTAATTTTGTTAGTAAAATTTTGCAAAAAAAAGGTAAACATGCCTATGGCTACTAACTACTAATTCTAAGTTTCATTTTTCCTAACCATGTAATAAATATATAGTTTTTATTTAATTGGCTTTTTGTCATAAAATTAAGAAAAAATATACAACATAGTAGGTACCTAAAGTCTGGGTGGCATGCAAATGTTAGAAGGAGCTATAAAACTTTTGGAAATAGCTTTTGTCAGTAGCGTCTTCCTTTCGGGAGTTTGAAATTGAGATACTATAACATGGTTATTGCATACCGAATAACACCTTCTAACAGTAGTATGAGCTAATTTAGACAATGCTGGATTATTCACAACGTCCATCCAGTGTTGAAACATAATCGCACCATGAGGAAACATGTGGAACCTCACATCCGGATTCTCGTTACGATTTTCGCACGACAAAAATGCACATTTTTTATAATAAAGTCAAGGCATGATGTGAAGCAAAAGATAAATAAGTCAGTGGTATCTTTTCCTCTAGTTATTTATATTTTAAGCACAACTTATAGTATGAACAACAAACTATGAAAGAATCACAAGATCACTAGCAAAATCGAGTTTAACACGAGTTCTGCAAGCAGTAAAATGCAATGCAGCAAAATTCTTGTTATATGGCAACTGCTGATCATACATAAAGACGTGCTGCTGATTACAGTGATGATTAACGACAGC